TCTCTGTGCAGTACACCAGGAAAAATGCCCCTGTGCCCCGACAAATCGTCTATTTCAAGACGCGAAAGGCGAGTTCGTGAGTTCCATAGAACAAAATACACTCGATAACTTGGCACAATACGTGCTTGTTCTTTCTCACCCGTTGGTTATAGTGAGAATTTGCAATGCGATGGCCAATGTCTAGCTGCGCTGCTATGTTTCCTACTCCGAAAGTGTGATACTTAACGGCATTGTTGATGTGCGCTCAATGATGACTCCTATCTTTAATGCTTTGTTTCACATGGACAGGATCAGTAAAAAACCTATCTTATTAGTACGTACTTTTGTGTTGGTAAGGACTTTTTAATTATTTCACTCCCTTTGACACTTTGGTTTAGAGAATTCAGTTTATTTGCACGTAATAAAATTAACTTCATCAATCCTGCTTTAGAATTACACACTCAAATAATAAAACTTTCACCACTACACCATTCCTAGTAGGTTTTTTTAACACAGTGACCTAAATACGTCATGTTGACCTCGCTCAAGTTCAGGGTTACAGAGGTGGGGCTAGAGATATAAATGAGAAGACAATGGACCAATCGCACATCACTGAGAGCACTCCGGTGGATTGCTCCGAAACTATCATAATACGGGCATTGAATCATGAACTTGTCTGAGATCGTATTATTTTTAGACTGCCTCTATGGGCTTTGTTCGGCTCGTGCACTTTGAGATTGTGCCGCCTTGATAATATTTATGTACGACGAAACTACCTCTAAAGTTCATCGTTGTTTGGGTCAGCCCGTAGAGCATTTTTCTAGTTAGATTACACCACTGAACGTGCTATTTATTACTTGGGTGAAGCACGAGGACTTGCTATGGTATAGTAGATGTTGTAGAGTGCTACAGATACACTAATGACGGATTAGGCTCTGGCGAGGCACCTGTATAGAAAATTGATTGGATAGCGGTTGTTCGAAGTTCTTTTATTGTCTCTTTGTGGGTGTTGTGCGCATTAAAAATTTTTGGGCGGTAGTGCACGACCGTGCTCAATGGGCGAACCGCCCCTGAATTATTATGTATCTCTATATAGTATAATGTTATATATTTACCAAGAGGAAAGCCCACAAGCTGCGCAAATCCACAAGTGAATGTAAAGCTTTTAAATGTTCAAAATGTGGGGGAAATTTCTGTGCCAGAATTGGTCTCATCGGCCACAGCAGAAGCCACAAGTCATCGTAATTTTTAGATTCTTCTAATTCTTCTATTTCAAGGAGAAAAATTTTAATATTCTCCTCTGTGGACGTATTCTTCATCGTCAGACATTGACGGACCAGCTATTGTATCTATCATTATCTATCGTACACCCGTCAGACATTACCCACCCGTTATGATCTATTATAATCTATCACACACCTGTAATCTGACAAAAGAACATCAAAAGACAATTGTTGTGACAACTGACCACAAATAACACAACAGCATACATCAAGCGACACAACAACCAACACAAACACGTTTGTCCCCCCC